GTATATGTACCAAACGATCGCCAAAAATCGTCTTTTGCAACCACTGAAATATTTCAGAAGTTTTTTGTAATTCTGCGCCTATATATTACTGCCGCAATATATTACTGCCGCAATATATTACTGCTTATATATTACTGGCAATAATATTTAGGCAGTAGTATATTGCGGCAGTGGTACGAAATAAGTACAAGCATTCTGTGTAATTGCCAGTAATATTCTCAGTGATAACCTGTAATACTTCCTGTGATATCTAATAATATTTTCTGTGATATCCAATAATTTTTTCTGTAATACCTAATAATATTCTTGTGTAATTGCCAGTAATATTTATATGTAATCGGCAATAGTTCTTTTTCGTAAGGGTTGTACTGCAATATGTTTAATAAAGTAATAATTTAAATAAATAATAAATGAAATGTATAGAGTAACTTGATAATAAGTAAATAAAAGAATTACATTTCAGTAAGGAATAAGTACAGAAAAGTATTACTGAGGCATCACTGATTAATTTTTGTTGCTTAGTAATTTAATTATTATAAATCGCAGTGATTTTTAGTATTTTAATTACTACTGTATCAATAATTTTTAGTAGTTTAGTAACTGTAGTATGTGTGCTTGATTACTGGTTCAGTAATTGAGTCGTGTAATTAATAAATTACTAGAATAAATTACTAGACAAGTACTGAAGCTTTATGATGAATCATTGACTCAATGATTTAGCTGTGACAAAAATTATTAGCACATTTATTAATAATAAGAAAAATATTTTTATCCATTGTTGCAGGTATTTTACACTGTAATATTTTTAATAAAATAATAATTTAATAATAAAATGAAATGTGTAAGATAGCTTGTGTGTGTGAGACTAAGTAGATAAGAATAATTACGATTTTTAAAGAACAAGTGGTTTCGCGAACTGAGTAAGAGGGCTGCAAATATGGCGGTCTCGAGTTCAAATCTCATTATTTTTAGCTTTTTTTCAGGTCTATCGTTTTAAACGGAGTTCATCGATCGATCGACGAGATAAATTGAGTCTCCAAAGATTAATTTGAGTGAAATCTAGAATTAATTCCTCTCCTACTAAGGCGATGTGCCATTGGTACTTGGTTTCTTTTAGTAAAAAATTCTACTTGGATTCTAGTGTTACGTCCTGGGCCTACGGTAACGGTCGGGCCCTTGAGGAGTGACGTAACTGACACATGACGCTTTGCTTGTCTATACAGAGAGAACGGTTTCTTTAAATTTAATAATCCGATTGTTTGACTCATATTTGTTGCATTCAAACAACATAATTTTATACCAAACAACAATTTTGTTGAATGAAAATTATATTGTTACGTTAAAATAAATCAAATTATTTGACAGAAACAATACAAATGTTTAAAATAATTTATTCTAACGAAATAATATTTTATT